GTGTGTGTGTGTGTGTGTGTGTGCATGTCTGACAACATGTAGCCGTGCAGTTGTTCCTCAATGAAAAGGTCTATTCTTAGAAACGAGAGGAGATAATCAGCCCAGTCAGCAAGTCAGGCAGCCAACTGATGATGACGATGCTTTCTGTACAGATAGAGTTGGTTCACACCTGTAAATATCTGGGACTCTTAATTGACGACTCACCTTCAAACCACATGTAGAGAACCTTGTGAAAAACCTGAAGTTGAGTTTATTTTCAAAAGAAGTTGTGTTTCTCCTTTAATACAAAGAAGCAGCTGGTTGCTGCAGCATGTTTGCCTGTGCTGGATTATGGAGATATTCTATATATGAATGCTTCTGCTCAGTGTCTTTGAATGGTTCATACTGTGTATCCTTCTCTGAGGTTCATCACTAACCGTGAATCTCAGTATCTCGTATACTCTCAGGTAGGACGGCCTGCTTTGGTAAGTCGGAGGAACTCAGTTTATATCTAAGGCGATTCTTGGGTTGCTGCCTTCTTATCTATGTTCCCTGCTTGCAATGAAACATGCTGGTCGGTATTCTCTTCGTCCTGAATTCATTTCAATAAGTGCTTTTAAATCTAAACTACGAATCCTTGAGGCCCATAACATGCAACTGTTTCAGTTAGACTGATTTATTTTAACTGATTTTTTATTTTTATTTGAACTTTATTGAATTTTACTGAATTTTATTTAATTTTTTCATTTATGTTTGCATGTGTGTTGTTGCTGCCTGTGTTTAATTGAGTCATTTCTGAGACAGCTGCTGCTGCCTATCTTGGCCAGAGGTTTTTAGTCTCAATGGCTCTTCCTGGTTAAATAAGGGTTAATGAATCTGTCTGTCTGTCCACATATATGACAGAGAAAAACTGAGAAAGTGACATTAAATGAAAACATAGTTTGACAATTGTGTGCATCTGTGTATGATATCAGTTCAGCATAGGAATGCAAATATGACTCTATCTATCTATGGGCAAAAACATTTATCAGGATATATCTTTGATAGCCACCATCATACCTGTGCCAAAGAAACCATCCCCAGCCTGTTTCAATGACCACCGCCCCGTGGCACTGACACCCATTATTATGAAGTGCTTTGAACGACTAGTCATGTCACACATCAAATCCACCCTACCTCCCACCCTGGACCCACACCAGTTCGCATACAGAGCGAAACGATCCACAGAGGATGCAATCTGCTCTGCCCTCCACCCAGCCCTAACTCATCTGGACAAGAAAGACTCATATGTGAGAATGCTGTTCATAGACTTTAGCTCAGCATTCAACACCATAATACCACAACAACTCATCTGTAAACTGGACAGACTGGGCCTCAGCACCTCCCTCTGCAACTGGCTGCTGGATTTCCTCAGCCAGAGGCCTCAAGCGGTGCGTGTGGGCAACAAGGTCTCAAACAGCATCACCCTGAGCACGGGGGCTCCACAAGGCTGTGTGCTCAGTCCTCTGCTCTTCACCCTGTTGACACATGACTGCACACCAACCTACAGCTCCAACCACCTTGTGAAGTTTGCGGACGACACAACGCTGGTGGGGCTCATCACCAAGGGCGATGAGACCCACTACAGGAAAGAGGTTGAGCTCCTGACCACGTGGTGCAGAGACAACAACCTCCTGCTAAATGTTAGTAAGACCAAGGAGATTATTGTCAACTTCCAGAGAGGCCACACCTGTCACCCCCCATTGACCATCGACTGCGCTGCGGTGGAGAGGGTGAGCAGCACCAAGTTCCTGGGGGTGCACATCAGTGAGGACCTCTCTTGGACCACCAGCACAGCATCACTGGCCAAGAAAGCACAACAGCGCCTCTACTTCCTGCGCAAACTCAAGCGGGCAAGTGCTCCACCACCCATCCTGACTACATTCTACAGAGGAACTATTGAAAGTATCCTCTCCAGCTGCATCACTGTGTGGGGCGGTAGCTGCACTGACTATAACAGAAAAGCTCTACAACGCATTGTGAGAACAGCTGAGAGGATAGTTGGTGTACCACTCCCCTCCCTGCAAGACATTTACACCACTCGCCTCACCCGCAAAGCCATCACAATTGTCAACGATGCAACCCACCCTGCGCACTGTCTGTTCAGCCTCCTGCCCTCTGGAAAGAGATACAGAAGTCTCCGCTCCCACACTACCAGGCTCACCAACAGCTTCATCCACCAGGCTGTGAGACTGCTGAACTCTCTTCCCTCCCGACTCCCAGCCAGCAGAATCACCAGATTGGCAGAAGTATAGGAAGACAGATTGGACTCTACTCCTCCTCTCTCTCTCCCCCTCACCCACGCACACTCTCCAGCAAGGAAACACTCTCTGAACCGGGAACTGAAAACATTCCTGACTTGCATTGCAATTGCACACACCTGCAGCTATATATATATTTTTGGTATTTCTTTTGGCACTGTTTATATTATTATATTACTATTTATTACTTTATTGTTAGGGCTGTTTTTTTGTTGTGCATCTGCACCTTATTGTTGTCAATGTCTACGCATGGGACAGTGTGAAACGTAATTTCAATTCCTTTGTATGGCAAGTACATTTGAAGAAATTGACAAATAAAAGTATTCTATTCTATTCTATTCTATTCTATATCGACATGACTGATGACATGCTCCGACAATCAAGCGGCTTCATAGCTTACCGAAGTCCTACTAAAACATTTTATGGCAGATTTTCGAGCGCCTGTTCCACATAAAATCCGTTCGAGGTCAGTAAACACAACCAGAATTCATACATAAGGCGCACTGTCGATATTGGGGGAAATGAAAGGCTTGAGAGCGCCTTATAGTCTGAAAAACACGGTAATAACGACGGCCCGCTTGCATGTTCTGCAAAAAATGTTCTTTGTTGTGTATCTGACGGTCGAAAGCCAAACCAGTTCCACACCACTGAAGCTGCAGCATTTTTACAAACCAGTTCAGGTTCATCTGTTTCATTCAAAGATCCGCTTTCGCTCTTCTCGTCCTCCGTCGCCGCCGTGCTTTTTCCATGTGCGTATGAAACAAAGGCACTGCGCATGCGCGTTTTACCCATATTCAATCGCGACATTTCATTTTCTTATCTTATATTAGTTTATATTTCTTTTATATACATAAGATGCATGTGTATCCCCTGAACTTGAGTCATTTTGAATATATTTGGTTGCTTTTATTTGTAGCCTGAACTCAGTGACTTTTGCACACAAGAGATAAAATCAGTGTCTGAAAACAGGAAGCTGGTTCTAACAGCAGGCTGACCTTCTGGGCCCCACAGGGCTCTTCAGTCTCCTGTACGTGGCTCCATGTCCCTTCAGTTGGGCTTTCCAAGGCTCTTTGTGGTATCAAAAAGAACTTCAAAGGTGGTGACTTATTGATCCTGTTGACTGTGAGTCATGGCAGTGTTGACCTGAAACACTCTGCTGCTGCAGATAAAGCAAATAACAGAACGAGGGCTTTTCCTTTTGTGTACACGTAACAGTGCAAACCTTGACAAGTCTTAAATAAATATGTCTCGAGAAAGCGGTGTCCACACAGCCATTCAGCTGTAACACAACAGAAACATTTACATCAGTCTTTCTAACGGCCTCCTGATTTCAGATTAGACTGGAGATGGTGCCAGTTCAGCTCTTTAAGATCTTACTGCAGCACTTGATTTAAAAGTGTCTTTTAAAGTACCTCAAGGATCAATTTGCCAAAGTACAGACCTTATCCTCAGAGTCCTTTCTGTACAGATAGGAAGCTTCTTTTCCTGTACTAGGTGGCCACTGATTTATCTCAGTTTTGCTTAAATCTTCTGTAAGCATAAAGTCTGCTAACACTTCCAAACTGACAACAGACAAATGTACCATTCTTTTCATGTGCTTACTGTAACTCTGTAGTCTTGGCTGGCCTGTGGAAGTGGAACTCTGTGACTGTTTCAAAGTAAAGACAGATTCCTTTTGGTCCTTACAAACCACAGTGAGTAGAAGTATCATTTCAAGCCCGTGGATTGAATCTTGGTATCATTTCTACTCAGCTTGGACATGTTACATGTGTTGAACTGGTTTTTAAAGGTTAAGAACATTAATGAACTCCATCCTTTCCCTCAGTGACACAAAGACTGTTAGCACCACAACAATCTCCTCATGATTAGATTGCTGTAACTCGCTGTACTTGGAAATCGTTCACTCACGTTGTCTCGTCTGCATCTGGTGCAGAAGGTTGCTGCAAGAAAGTGATGGGAGTGCAGACTGTGTGTTTTGGATCAAGCTGTGTTTTAGCACATCACTCTATATTTTATTTCATACCTTTGTCCAGTTTTCATGTGGAAACACAGCTCCTCCACCCTATCAAATATCTCCCATTTATCTTAAGTTAATTCCTGCCTTCAGAACCAGTTGTTGGGACCTTTTCAGTGGAAATAAGGGTGAATTAACCAACCTATAAGCGATAGATATGATTTTTGTGACTTTTATTTACCATCAGAAATAGTTGTTTTGTTCTGTTAAACGAAAGAGAACCGTGTGTTTTGCGGACCAACAGCCTGGATTTCAGCAGGGCAGACTTGCTGCCTGTAGAGGGAGCCCTTGTGCAGGATTCCCAATAAGGAAGCGCTGAGGTGAAATTCTGCTTCATCAGGCCCGCGGAAAAAAGCGGAAGTTGTGCTAGTTTCCTACAAAATAAAACAAAGCAAAAGAAGTAAAACGGTGGTGCTCAAACGTGACGTGAAATAGTTGGAATAATTGAAATATTGAAATAACATCAAATTTATTTTATCAAATATGTATCATGAACCGCGTGAACCTTAGTTTAAGAAAAATAAAAAAGAGGGAAAAAATCACGTTGAGATTAGGATTAGTTGGTGTGACATAAATATCAGATAAACCTCAAATTAAATATTTGCTGTTAATTTTGCCAAAAATATTCACGTCACACGAGGACGTGAGAGCGCGGGTCCGAAGTTGGCTTTATTGTGGTTTCACCACCGGAAGTGTGCCCGTGTGCGTGGCCTTGTCTTGACCGTGGTAACTAATCCAAGCGGCTGAGACGAGCGCAGCAGTAGGTCGCGACGTCCAGGACTGAGCCGAGGTTTGCGAGCGGGACCGGGACAGACACGCGGAGGCTGCGCTGCTTGCAGGACTTCCGCCCACAGGACCTCCCGGCTGCGCTTTCATTTCTTTCCCCGGCGCGACAAGTGGCTCTTTGGGACTCGGAGGGATTCGTGGAGACTGTTTACCGAGCGAGCTTCCAGTTCCCGAGTCGATCACCTCGGCATGGCTTCAACGACCTGCACCAGGTTTACCGACGAGTACCAGCTGTACGAGGAGCTGGGGAAGTGAGTTCGTGACTCTTTGTGTCTCTGAAGTTACTGCTGCTTTCAGTTGCTGCCGTGGAGTCACGGAGCCACCTCCGCCTGCCTGACCCCACCTTGAAGGGTGCAGTCGGCGCTGTGGGCACTTCACTGTACCTGTAGTCTTACTGTCAGATACTGTAGGATCCGTGTTTGACTCCACGTCTGTAATACTTCGTGGCTGTTTCGGGACTTTATGAACCCCGCCCGTCAGTACCGAGCGCGTTAAAGGGTCCGAGGGACCGACTGAAATAGCTCCGTGTTTTAAGTGTGGCCTCTAAATGCTGCGTGCTGAGGAGAAAACACGGCTGAGGACAACTTCTGTCAAAAACCAGTCAGTGTGTCATAAATGCAGGAAGTTGGTTTCGTTGGGGTCAGTGGGGTCACTCGTAAACAACGACGTGTTTCTGTCCACAGTCCCGCCCCTCTGTGCATTCGCTTCATCACGCATGCACCTGAACCCGAGCTGGCTTTGGGGAGCTGTGGTTGATCTCGGCCTGATCTGGGGTCAGCCTGAACGGTCATCACGTCACTGTGGTTCATTCAAATGATTGCTTCACTTTGTTATTCTGACCTGAACAAAGACTTGAGTTATTGCGGGCCTTCACTGAAGAACCACTGGATGCAAAGTTGTGTGAATGATGTAAACTGGATGCTTTGCCGCTGCTACGACGAGGCGCTTCTTAGAAAGGCCTGTTTGAAGCCTTCTCCAGTTTACATGAGCAGGAAGCAGGTGTGGCTGCTGATCAGGGATCTGCTGATGCTTCCACGTGTGCTTCAGCTGATGACCTCTGACCCGACCTTTAGTCTGAGCTCCGAGAGGATGTGCATATACTTGCCTGACATCCACCTGATGCTCACCTGTGTGTGGTTTAGTTTGCAACCCGCAGCCACTGAAAGTTCTTCTGGTTAACCTGTATGTTCAGCTGTCATTAGTGTGTCTGTCTGTGTCGACAGCCGTGCAGCACTGAGCTGTGGGTGACGCACAGTAACAGCAGAAGACGTGCTGATAAGAGCCACATGGAAAACTGGGTTACTCTGCAGCATGTGTGCAGGATGCTGGTTCAAACACGGTCGGAGCAGCGTGCTCCGTCCTGCCTGATGCTGTTTTCAGCCTCCTTCATCTCCTCTTACGCAGAGAAACTGGTTCTCTGTGTCGATGAGCAGAGTGAAACATCGTGTATCTGCGCAGACACGCTCGCGTACAGGCCTCCCAAATACACTATGTGTAGCTAGAGCAGCGATTGGTTGAAAAGAGCGACAGTGAACGTCAGCACAGAGAGAAGAAGAAGAAGCGCGAGAAGGCAAACGAAACAAAGACAAATGATTCAAAAGTTTTTAAAAAGCAGACCCTTTTTCCACTTTGCTACAACAAAGTTCATGGATGAGGACTTTGCATAGTTTCATATGCAAAGTCATCAGTTTTACTACGAATGATGTTCAGCACAGTCGAGCTTTGTTTGTGGCGTTTGGCTCAGTGAAGCCCGTCACAGCGCCGGGTGCTAACCCGGGCTTTCTTCTGTAGGGTCACAGAAAAAGGAGCGCTGCCTCGCTCGCTCGTGTTGAAGCGTGATTAAAGTGCACCAGCGATGTCGAGGCGGCGACTTCAGGCAGAGCCAGAGAAGTCTGTCTGTGTCTGCAGCAGAATATGAAGCCTGCTTACACGTGGCTGTGGACACGGGCAGCTGCACAGCTGCTCATTCGTTGCATGTTTCACCCACTTTACTTCACTTGCTGCTGGTTTAGGAACAGAAACCAAGAAGCTGAAAATAAGCTGCTTCACAACGATCACTCTGCACGCTGAAAAGGGACAAGTGGGGAGTTAGACGGCCTCTGACTTGTTGCAGGGTTAGTTGCACCGTCGAATGGTGCGTGTTGTAAAATGGCTCTTGAAACTTTGGACTCGTGACACCGAGACTCGACCGGGACTTTCAGATGTAACAGTGCAACAGAAAACACTTTAAATGTCATTTTCACAGCTGTCTTTGCACATTATGAGGAGTCTGGTTGTGCAGAGGCTGATCCCTGCTTCATTGTGTCCTGTAGGGGGGCCTTCTCTGTGGTGAGGCGGTGCATGAAGATCTCCACGGGGCAGGAGTATGCTGCAAAGATAATCAACACCAAGAAGTTGTCTGCTAGAGGTGAGTACATGGTGCTTCAGGCTCTCACTGCAAACATGCAGCGGTGGCTCACTCAGAGGGAATAGCTTCTTTTTAGCCCCGTCACGCCTCAAACCAGCTTCCTCTTTCTTTTTGGCTCTATGGTTTTCATGCCTCTGCCATTGCTGCCCGTGTCATCTCAGTAGCAGCCAGATGTGGTCGGGTTTCACTGCCTGCAGCTTCAAATTCACTTTTATTTTCCGTGTTTGTTATTGCATCGTCACAGTGGCACCGACAGGAAGAACGGCCTTTTCACGACTCGTTCTGCTGTGTGAGCCGGTGATTTGTGATGAGGTCTTCACATTAAAACATGATTATAGAGCGTTGCCTCGTGAACTTCATGTGATGGTGTCTGTCCAACCCAGAAGCTTCTCTTTTGTCTTTAAAGTTTTCATCTTCTTACTAACAGAACAAAAACAACTTCATCAGTGTCCGTGCAGCAGGAGCCCAGGCGTCCGCTGCTGTCCAAGTGCTGATCGGCAGAAGCACGGCGCACAAACTGAAGGAGACGGGCTTGAATAGATGGGCCGTGGTGATGGAGAGTGACTGCAGTGCAGCCTCTCAGGAGGGGAGCAGGGGGTTTCCCTGCAGCTAGCAGCTGTGTGGAAAGCAAAGGGTTTGCAAATGTGGTTTTAAAAAGGGAGACTTGCAACAATGAAACAAAAAGAAAAAGACTCATTTAGCTGCTGAGAGATTAGGAACTCATTTTAACCTTGTAGCCTTGGAGGACATCATAACCAATGAGAAGGGAGAGCAGGCACGGTAGATGGTTTGTCCCAGGGCTGAGCGACGATGATCTCACATCCCTGATATCAGACGTTTGTCGTGCTGACAACGATATTCATCACAAAACTTTTGTTTTCTGTAACTTCTGTGAGTCTCGGGCAGCTCGACCTGCATGAAGTGTTTTCAGCTGGGCGTCGTGTAGCTGCAGTCGAGTGGTAGATGAGTTGGAACGGCCGCGATTTTCTTTGTATGCATTACACGGCGTGCTGCGGGGCGGGGCGTGCTGCGGGGCGGGGCGCGCTGCGGGGCGCGGCGTGCTGCGGGTCGGCGCGCTGACGGCTCTTTTTAGCATCTCGTCCCTAAATACTATTTCACCTGATTCCGTTTATTTTGAAAAATCTCAACAGGATCTTCAGCTTTATTGTGAAAGGTTTATGTGGAAATAAACTAGCGGAGCCGCGCGATGCTCGTCGTTGGCCTCGCTGTTGCTAACGACAACGCATAACAACAGTCGCTTGTCCGTAGTGTGGTCATTTTAAATATAAGAGGAGAGAGAAGGCTAAGAAATTCTACATGAAAACGATGTAAATATCAGCGTGAACGGTTTATTTTGAGACACAGACATGAATAAGAAAGATGGACGTTTCACATTCATGTCGCTTATATTGAGCTAGTTTGTCATAAGTCCACGCCGGGCTTATTTAGGCTCAATGAGGAGAAGAAGGTCAGTTGGACAGAGGAGTGTTTATAAAAGAATTGCATATAAATCTAATGGGGCTGTTCACCAGGAGAAAAACATCCGTCCTAGTTTTCCATCACTCAGCGTCATGAGGTGAAAATAATCCTAGCTCTTGAGGCAGAGATGCAGATGAGCCCTTTGGGTTGCGCCTTCAGAATAAGTGAAATCCCAAAGAAAGCCGATATGATGCTGCTGTCTTTTGGCCACATCACCACATTGCTCAAACACAGCTCGCTTACGCGTAAGCACCGCGTTCTGGTTTACAGGTTTATGGGTTGGTTACCTTCTGATAAATCACAACATTCACAGTGACATCTCTTCATTCAAATTGTGAAATCCCTTTAATCTGGCCTGCAGCACTTTAGGATGTCAGCACACAGCCGGAGGACAGACGCTCTGAAAGTCAAACACATGCAGATACGGTGGCGTGCTGATCCGAACTGACGGTCTCGTTCAGGGAGAGGCCAGAGTGCCACCAATGCCACGGCTGCTTTGTGAGGAGAAGTCCTAAACAGAAGCTCCACCTGAGAGTTCTTCTGTGTCTGCAAACATCACATCAGCAGTAGTTCTAGTGAAGGAACACGTGGTTGCAGAGTGCTGCAGCTGAGCTTGGAAGGCTTTCTGATAGATCTCACTGAGAATCTACACGTCTGTGATGGGGACTGTTCTGCATGTTAATCTGCTGTCACAGTGTGGACACTTCAGTTACATCATAATGAACAGTAATTATGAAATAGTGTTAAACTAATAGACAATGCTGGGAACGCACTGGCAGCAGTGTCGGCCCTGAGCTGCCAGCACCATCACCCCAGCAGGGTGAAGCAGCCAAGGCAGGAGGACAGTTTTCAATTAATGGATTTTAATTTTGATGTTCACACTGGAGATTGTGCAGCTTTGAGTTGCCACCAGACCTGTGTGTTTGTAGTCTCTAATGACGATCGTGAGTAGTGCAATGATAACAATGCAACTGTTTGTGCTCACAGACCTTTGTGCGGTACTGTCAGATGTTGATGCAACATGCAGTCTCCCTCAGTTCCTGAGTTGCCACCAGACCTGGAGACCCCCCCCGGCCTAAACAAGCTGGCACTTGTGAGGCTCAGAGTGCATCGGTTAATTTGAAAAGTCATTACCAGGTTTTGCTAACACGTTAGCAGGTAGCTATTACCAGTAAATGTGTTTGTAGTCTCTAATGACGATCGTGAGTAGTGCAATGATAACAATGCATGTAACCTTTGTGCGGTACTGTCAGATGTTGATGCAACATGCAGTCCCCTCTGGAAATCGTTGGTTCATGTGTCACACTGCCAGCGTAGCAGACACACATGTGGACAGAAAAGCACTAACCTCAACATCACTGAAGCAGTGCATGGACTTTCCTTTCAGGCTCACTGGGGCTTCAGAAACGGTGATCTTACCTGTTACACCGCACCTAGAAAACGAGGTGGTTGGACAGTGCTGGGTCAGGTGCCACTTTTACTGTGCACACAAGCATTGTGTGAGTTATGAAGTAAACTTGCATATGGAACGTTAAAGCGAGGAGTCATTTGTGCTCTGCTGTCGAGCGCTCCTCCCAGGCTTCCTCGTGTCCGCTGTGAAGCAGGTTTGTCAAACTTGGATGAGCTGTGGGCCCTGCTGGCGCCGTCGTCTCTTTGGACACGTTAGTGTTCAAGTGGTACAAAAAACAAAACACCCACAAATGTTTCCTAAAATTTAATTTCAAGTATCGTAGAACAAGACAAGCTGCAAACGTGACCACAGATCTTTCATTGAACCACCAAATAAACACAGCGGTCCTCTGTGTGCACGCGTGGCAGCACGAACTGTGATTGTATTTAACAAAATAAAAGCGCAGTACTGCACTAACACAGCCGATCCCTCAGCATCTTTGCACTCTGCTGTTTCCTCGGTCAGGACCGTGATGAAGGTTGCTCTGGCTAATCCGTCGGGCTTCGTGTTGGGCCCGTAGCCGGTAACTGTCAGAGAGGCGTGGAAAGGCTCCAGCAGAGCTTTAGAGTGTCGGAGGGGAACACGGCGCACAGTCTGGACGGCTTGCTTACAGCCGGGCTCGTCAGGCTGCAGCTGTTGTTGTTGTTATATTTACATGCTTTCATCTTCCGTTTCTTGTCGGTAGAAACTCGTACTTTCTCTCTGCCTCGCGCTCAAACACACACAGTGGGAGGGGCAGTCCCACGCTCTCTGCAGCACAGACTACACTACCCATGAGGCTACATGCCTCAGTCAATGCAGTCAACAACAAACAAATCCTCCCTTCACAGGTCAATTCACAGGTTATAGTTCGTCACGTCAGTGTAAGGGGTCCCCGGGCCGCCAGTTTGACACCCCTGGTTTAAAGTGCATCTGCATTCTAACCGGCTCTTCAAAATAAAAGCATAATACTGGAAGAATCCCGAACATAACTACAACACCCAGATGTAGTGAAGTGGAAGTCTTCACTGACGGCAGCCTTGTATGAAGGACAAAGTCAGACCCAGTGATGCTTGGACTCACCAGAGTGGAAGTGATCACTTGAAGACCCACCGGCTGTGGGAAAGCTCTGGTTCAGGAGCCCTTTGTTGTTGCTTCTGGAAAATACCCGAGGCCCAGCCGCTCGATGTGAACTCTTCATCCCCATGGAAACACAACGAGATGGGAAGCTAAATATAGTCTGCGGGGTCATGTAGGTGTTGAAGTATATTAGAGTGTTTGTGCTGTTGATTGTGATCAGCGCTCAGACACAGCGTAACACAAGCACTCCTAACACACCGAAACCCACGAGCCGTGACCCCTGACCCCTCAGTCCTGGTTTTATAGGGTCGCATCAGTAAAGTGCTCCATCAGAGGTGTGTGTGTGTGCATTTAATGTCACAGGCTTAACACAGCAGTTACACAGCAGCCTTCCTAAGGCCACACATGAAAGAGGTGGATAAAGAGAGACGTTGTGCGTTACAAAAGGAAGATGCTGTAACACAAAGCAGAGCCTCGTGCAGCGTGTACAGCTCTACATGACGTGGTCTCATTGTGTCCACGGCTCATCCTTCAGGTCTCGACTGACCCACATGGTCTAGGACTTGAATGACCAGTGAGCTGTTCGTGTGACAGAAGTGATGACTCAGTATCCCTAAGTGCACGTCCTTGTGTGTCTGCCATCACTTAGACAGCTTCTCATGCCGAGGGCGCCCGCCGCCTGCAGACTGCAAGCTGCACTTCATACATCCTACAAACAGGCAACGAGAGACCAGGTTCAGGAGGTTCTGTGTTTACTTGTGAATCTGTGCAGAGCTCAGGCTGCTGGTCTCAGAATCCTGTGTGTGTGTCCATGTATTTAACAGGCGGTGTAGTTGGACTCTGCATGCCCACCAAGCTTTATGGAAGCAAGAACAATCAGATATGTGAAGCTGAACATTTGTAAAGTAGGGTCATGTTCACACATTAGTTTATGATGCTTTGCACGTGGATGGAAATGGTCCTGGTATGAGTCGTCCACCAGAACTTAAGTCACATTTTGTAGAAGAACGTT